CGAGCACACCATCTTTTAGATTGCCGCACCACCTTGTTGCCCCCTTTATTTTCTTATACATTGGCCTGAAAGGCCGAATGGTTAAGAAAATAATTTATTTATTATATATATATTTTAGCAAACAAAAATAAAAGTGGTTGAACCATAATTAGGAGGAGGCGAACGATGTTTTGTTCCGAGCCGAGACCGTTTAATACCAATATAGCCAATCAAACTGTGCACTAGGCCAAAAAAATGATCTCCAAATATTTGTGACTTGGTGAAATATTTTTTATCAGTCGCCGAATGTGTTGAACAATTGTCATGCCCCCCAAGCATAATAATTTCGTCAATTTCGGCTTAACTCAAACAACTGAGCCGAATGGGATATCTCTATATCGGCTTTATCACCAATAATCATATCGATTGGCGTGGTTTTTCAGCTAGGCGCATGTCTCGGCCTTGTTCGTCATTAGAGCACTGTTCTGACGAATCATTTTCTAAGTTGATTTGTGGCTTAGAAACTTTAACTTTTGCTTCTAGGCCTACCACAATTTCTGTCTCAACTGAAAAAACAATTGCCCCCCGACCTCTAGCCCTTTTTCAAGAATTCTACAGTACTCCTCAAGTAGTTTTGTTTGCTTCTTGACACTTTCCTTTAATAGGCACCAAATCTCATCCTGATTGTGATCTTGATATATCATGTGAACTTCGTAGTTTTAGCACTTAGTTGGTGCGAAATATATAAGCACACAAATTAAACCCTCTTTTTGTCAATTGTAGTAAAGAATATAAGTAGGGATCGTTCTAGGCCGGGGATTAGGAGGGATTGCTAAATCACTTGGAAACTGACTTGAAAACATAAAAACAAAGTTTAAAACACTAAACTAGACTCAAAGAATGCAAAACTATACTTTAAAATACTAAGATAAACAAAAAGATTCAAAACAGCAAATAAACACTCAAAACTGACTTAAAAACACTTTCTGGGCAGTTTTGAACACCTAACACTAAATTGGACGAAATTGGGTTATGACTTGACTCAAGACACTTAAAAACACAAACTAAAGTGATTACTGACTAATCTAACATTTTGAAATAAATGGGAGATTGATTCTTGACGAATTTGAAAACAAAACAAACTTTGTAAAACAAAACAGATTGTAAATGAATTTGAATGAAACTTATGGATGGAAGGCTAGCTAGGAGGTTCTTTTCCACACATGTCACACTTGCATACAAAATGATTTCCAGTTGCTTTTCGATAAACTATGAATACTCAACGCCTCAAATTAACCGTGAATTGCACTAATTAACCCTCAGTTTTTCCACAAGTTATTAGGTTGGATGATTGCATACGACAACCCAAAACATTCCCTACAAGTTCCCTACATGAATTGCATAATAGAGATACAAGCAAGAATCATTAAGTTCTATGAAAACCATAAGTATTGACGAGGCACTCGTTACTATGATTTGCATGAAACTTATGCCAAGAATTTACTTAACGTGATTGTGACTAGCAACCTTCACTACTTGTGAATATAAGTTCATAACGATTAGGTGAAACTCCCTTATATTCTAGCGTTAAATTCATGCATGAAAATTAAGCGTGCACTCTCAACCAACATACACAAATCAGGTTTTACACGAACGGATAAGTAAATTGAATTCACAACTTATGAATCACAACTGGATGTAATCAAATCATATTGTAAGCATGAACATAGTTTCGAATCACCCCCTAACTAAGAGGGGTTTAGTTCCTCATGCTCGTAATTACACAAAGATAACTTAAATTAAACATTGAAATCAAAGATAGAAAACACCTAAAAACGCTCCAACACTCCCAAGGCTTGGGCATAGGCACGACACAAGATGTTCCTTCTCATTCCTTCCTTGCAATAGTCACGGCATAAGAGATTTAGAACAGGTTTTGGGTGGTTTTTATGGTGTAGAATGGATGGGGAATGGTATGGAAAGGTTTAGGGTTGATGGGTGGTGTGGCTAGGGGTGGTGTTTGGCTGAATTTTTAGAGAATGGTGATGGAGAGGTGCGGCTAAGGTAAGGGATCAAAATCTGTTATGTTTGATGAATATGGGAGGTGGTATTTATAGGCTTGAGAGAGGACCACTCCATTTCCTTTGCATGTGCAGCTTGTGTGGGTGTGAGTTGTCATGTTTCCCCTTTACATTTACACACACACATGCTTCATCATTTCAACCACAAAACACACCAATTTTCTGCCCATGTCGTGTGCTTTCCTTCCACTTTGCATGTGGGTTTTCTGCCATGTTATCATCCTAGCTGTTACACTTGCACACACACATGTTCTTTGCATCATTTCAACCACAAAACACACACATTTTCTGCCATGTTTCTCCTTTACATTTACACACACACATACTTCATCATTTCAACCACAAAACACCCACAATTTCTGCCCATGCCGTGTGCTCCATGTGCTTGCTGCTGCCATGCTCTTTTCTTTCCATGTGTTTGCTTTCTTTGCCATGTGTTTGCTGCCATGTTCTTTGCTTTACCATTACACTTGCACACACACATGTTCTTTGCATCATTTCAACCACAAAACACACACATGTTTCATCATTTCACCACAAAACACACCATAATTTCTGCCATGCCGTGTGCTCCCATGTGTGTGCTGCAACAAGGGGTTTATTTAAAGGGATAAAGGAAATAAAACCCTAGGTTAACTAGGTAAACAAAAATTAAGTCTAAAGCTTCTACAATTTAGGGAAACAAATCAGAAATTTAAAGGAAATAAGCTAAAAGGTGTGGCAAGGCTTTAAAGTAGATTAGGAAAGTGTTTAAATGCAAGATTTAGGAAAGAATGACTCTTCCTTGCACGGCAAGGAAGAGTAATGGCAAGGGTGGAGCACACGGCTAGTTGCTTATTTTTGAACACTTCGTTCTTTATTTGTCTTGAATCCAATTCTTCACATCATCATTCAATCCTAAGCTCATTTGATCTTCAATTTCGTCCATCTTCTTACCTCCAAGCATATGCAATCCATTTGATGCACAAAAACTGCTCCAAACGACTCCAAAATGCACATGTGTGCATACTTTGTCCTTAAAACCTGAAAACACATAAAAGTGACTTTAAACACTAAAATAACTAAAGAAACACAACGTAAACGTACGAGAACAAGCCAATTAAGTTGCATAAAAATGCTCCTATCATTAGTCCCATTGGCCGTGCTAAAATGTTGACCCTAAAAACTACTAAGCCTACTTGGGGTGTAGGCCGAGTAATTAATAAGCTAACTACGTCATTCGGTTATGTGTGGGGCATGCCAACTCGTCGGTTGAGCTCGACCGAGGAGTAAAATATGTTGATGTTGCATTAGGTACGCTGCTGACTTCTGAATCTTGCGACTGCGGCCGAGGAATGAACACCTCGGCCTTCGGGTTCTAGAGCCTGAAGACAAGGTTGCTAGTTCTGTGAAGTTCAATATCAAATTCGGATTTCAATGTGCCGAATGTAGTAACTTGTAAACCTCACTTCGCCGAGAAGGTTAATGAGATGACCTCTGCCAATAAGGATTCGAAAATCCTTCTCGACCGAGACTTGGATAGATAACCAGTCGGCCACATCGTAGTGCTGTTTATCCAAACTGAAGGTGCTTCATGGCCGGCTGATTTTACGGCAACAGTGCTATTTATCCAAACTGAAGATGTTCGCCGGTTGCCTTCACAGTGATGTTTATCCAAACTGAAGATGTGTTGGTGAAAAAGGAAAATAAAAATCTCAAGGTTGTTGAAAGGTTTCACGTAGAGCGAGGGTTTACGCATGGCAGTTTGTGTGTTGAGTTGGAGGTCATTTTCTGCTGTCATTGCATCTGTATTTATAGTGACTGTATGCTTGCTTGGCACGGCCTGATCCTTGAGTAGAATTTGACTTCAATCCCAACTAGACAAGCGAGAGCCTATCATTTAGCAAATAACAGAAAAATAGACAACCTGACTTTGCTTCAGTATTATCACCATTATCCAAAAAAACCTATTTTTCCTTTCTTATCTTTTGGATGCATTCCACGTGGTCATTTCCCTATATCATGATACCTATCACCTACTTACTTATCTGACAAATTTATTTGACCAAATAGGAAAATAAAAGAATATTCTTTCATTATCCCTTCAAGGCCCATCTGATCATGCCATCCCATTCTTCAAGACTTATCTGATCATGCCAAGTGCTGATCTCTGCATGTTCTGTCAGCAAACCCCAATTAATTCGAACTATGTTATTGCTTCTAAATTGGAGATAATTTGAAACTCATTTATCCCGTATTAGAAAATGTCAAAATAATTCACCATTAAAAGATAACATCATGATTAAAACCAACAATATATCCTTCAATAATAATTATCTTAACTACTCAGTCATCTAACGGTTGAGAGCTATGTTCATCAACGGCCTCGATCGCTTGGGCCGATAATGTAAAATCGGGTCCAAACAATAGGGTATTGAGTGTTTACTAATGCGTTCACATTTTTTTTGTTTTAAATTAACGTAATAGTTTTAAATTCTCTCAATTTCTCCTAATAGTAATAATATTAAGAAAAAGAGAATTTGATGCTTCAAATATAGATTAACATATTAACTTAATGGTTATATTTTTGACCAATTTTTTAATTTTTTTTAAAGATGATATTTTGAGAAAATAATAAACTGTTTAAATTGGTTAAAACTTGAAATACAATGTGACGTATGCTACAAAAATTATCTAAAGCTTATTTGAGGTAACTCGACTCAGCCTCACTCAAATTTGATAATTCTAATTCACCTTTTATTAAAAGGAAAACTAATGAAAAATGTTTGAAAACTTTGAGTTTTAACGATAAGGACAAAATAAAGAGTAAAATGAATAGTACCAGGTTTGACTTTTTAATGTAAAAATGTGAGTTTTCGTTAAAGTGAACAGTACCGCGAGTTTTTCGTTAAAACTCACTTTATTAAACAACCAAAATAAAAAAAATAAAAAATGAAATAAAAACATCCAAGTTCACCCTAAATAACAATAACAAAACCCTAAATCCCCGACCTTGGCTACATTTGTTCGTCTCCGCTCCGCCTCCTCTACCGCTACCGCTACCACTACACTACGAGAGCTCTCACACCAGAACCAGAAAATGGTGAGCTATCTCTTCTCCTCCACTCTAATCTACACACCCATTGGATTTCCTTCTCTGTATACTCTTTTAATACGACTTCGTTTCGTTCTTGTTTGATCTCACCCTGTTTTGTTTTGTTGTTGTTTGGACAGCCTTTCAAGAGGTACGTCGAGATCGGAAGGGTGGCTCTCGTCAACTACGAAGAGGACTACGGGAAGCTCGTCGTCATCGTCGATGTCCTTGACCAGAACAGGGTACCCTTCTCCTTCATTTTTCCATTTTTTATTTTTTATTGTTGAACTTTATTGAATTTTGGGAAGACCTTGGAGACTTGGTGCAAGGAATTGCTCAGACGGAGAAGTTATTTATAGGAGGAGATCTAAATGGACACGTGGGCAGGGAGACAGGCAACTATGGAGGTTTTCATGGTGGCCATGGTTTTGGGGAGAGAAACGAGGATGGGGAAGCTATCTTGGATTTTGCAATGGCATATGATCTCTTCTTAGCCAACACCTTCTTTAAGAAGAGAGAAGAACATGTGATCACCTACAAGAGTGGGTCGTCAAAAACACAAATAGATTTTCTTCTAATGAGGAAAGGGGATCGTATAACTTGTAAGGATTGCAAAGTTATACCAGGAGAGAGCGTGGCTAATCAACATCGCTTGTTGGTGATGGATGTACATATCAAAAGAGGGAGACAAAAGAACAAGACTTGGAAGTGCCCAAGGACTAGATGGTGGAATCTAAAAGAAGAAAAACAAGCCATTTTCAAAGAGAAGGTAATCACCCAATGTGTGTGGGATAGAGAGGGGGAAGCTAGCCAAATGTGGGATTCCATGGCTAGTTGTATCCGAAAAGTAGCAAAAGAGGTATTAGGAGAGTCCAAGGGCTTTGCCCCACACCAAAAGGAATCTTGGTGGTGGAATGAGGAGGTACAAACAAAGGTGAAGGCTAAGAAGGAATGTTGTAAAGCCTTATACAAGGAGAGGACCGATGAAAATGGTGAAAGGTATAGAAAAGCGAAGCAAGAGGCGAAGAAAGCGGTCAGAGAAGCTAAGTTAGCGGCTTACGACGATATGTATAAACGACTAGATACCAAAGAAGGAGAGTTGGATATCTATAAACTAGCTAGAGCAAGGGAAAAGAAGACAAGGGACCTAAACCAAGTGAGGTGCATCAAGGATGAGGATGGAAAGGTTCTTGCTACAGAGAACGCGGTTAAAGACAGATGGAGAGGTTATTTTCATAATCTTTTCAATGAAGGACATGAAAGGAGTGCTTCTTTAGGGGAGTTGAGTAACTCAGAAGAGTGTAGAAACTACTCTTTTTATCGTCGAATCCGGAAGGAAGAAGTGGTTGTAGCTTTGAAGAAGATGAAGCATAGAAAAGCAATAGGCCCAGACGATATACCAATCGAAGTGTGGAAAGTTTTGGGAGAGACAGGTATAAACATGGCTCACTGACCTTTTCAATAGGATTTTGAAAACGAAGAAGATGCCAAATGAGTGGCGAACGAGCACTTTGGTGCCTATCTACAAGAATAAGGGCGACGTACAAAATTGCATGAACTATAGGGGTATTAAGTTAATGAGTCATACAATGAAGCTCTGGGAGAGAGTCATTGAGCATAGATTGAGGCAAGAGACACGGGTTTCGGACAACCAATTCGGGTTCATGCCAGGGCGCTCAACCATGGAGGCAATCTATCTCTTACGAAGATTGATGGAAAGATATATAGAGATGGGAAAAAAGGATTTACACATGGTCTTTATAGATTTGGAAAAAGCGTATGATAGGGTCCCAAGAGACATTCTTTGGAGGATCTTAGAGAAGAAAGGAGTACGAGTAGCATATATCCAAGCTATAAAGGATATGTATGAAGGAGCAAAGACTGCCGTAAGAACTCATGAAGGACAAAACCGAAAGCTTTCCCATAAACTGTAGGATTACATCAAGGCTCATCCTTAAGTCCTTACCTTTTTGCGTTGGTAATGGATGAGTTAACAGGACATATTCAAGATGATATTCCTTGGTGTATGCTTTTCGCAGACGATATAGTGTTGATAGATGAAACTCAGGAAGGGGTAAATGCAAAGCTTAACCTTTGGAGAGAAGTGTTGGAATCTAAAGGTCTTCGCCTAAGCCGATCAAAGACAGAATATATGGAGTGCAAGTTCAGTGCAGATGGAGGCCAAAACGAGTTAGGGGTGAGGATCGGAGATCAAGAAAATACCAAAGAGCGACCGTTTTCGTTACCTAGGATCTATCTTGCAAAAGAACGGAGAATTAGATGGAGATCTCAACCATAGAATACAAGCTGGATGGATGAAGTGGAAGAGTGCATCTGGCGTGTTGTGTGACCGCCGTATGCCACTGAAGCTCAAGGGAAAATTTTATAGGACGGCAATAAGGCCGGCGATGCTGTATGGCACAGAATGTTGGGCGGTGAAGCATCAACACGTACACAAAATGGGTGTAGCGGAGATGAGGATGCTTCGTTGGATGTGTGGGCACACGAGAAAGGATAAGATTAGGAATGAGGATATCCGGGGTAAAGTAGGAGTAGCCGAAATTGAAGGAAAGATGAGAGAAAATCGGTTACGGTGGTTTGGACATGTGCAAAGAAGGCCTACTGACGCTCCGATTAGAAGATGCGACTATGGGACAGAGGTTCAGGGCCGAAGGGGTAGAGGAAGACCTAGGAAAACTTTGGAAGAGACTCTAAGAAAAGACTTAGAGTACTTGGATCTAACGAAGGACATGACACAGGACCGAGCACAAATGGCGTTCTAAGATTCATATAGCCGATCCCACTCAGTGACTTGGATTTTCCAAGTCTCCAACCGAGAAGTTTACCTCACTCGAAAAATTAAGGGAACACTACCCCAACCTACATGCTCCACTCAGAAAGCTTCAACATACAAGCTTCAACAAAAGAAAATTCAAAGAACTTAGCGAAGAAGGCTTTGGTGTATTTAACACAATACGTTGAAATGAAGGAAAACTTATTTATTGATATCCCCGATAAGCTACAAATATGTACATATACATGAGTCAAAATAAACAAACAAGATGGAGCCTTCACAAAGGTTGCTTAGGAGAAGTCTCAGCAGTCGGTAGAGCCCCAGAAAGAGAAGGCATCGGAGGGGGATCATTCGGAGCCTCAGTACTGGACAGAACCCTAGACGGAGGAGGCATCAGAGGTTGATCATTTGGAGCTTCATTACGCGGTACAGCCCCAGAAGACGAAGGCAATAAATGCCTTTGGAACAAACCCACAAATCTCTGATGATCAAGTAAAACCTGACCATCAGTTTCCTTCATCTGGTCAAGCTTCCTCTTCATGTTTGTAGCATAGTCATGTGCGAGCCGGTGTAACTGTTTATTCTCATGCTTGAGCCCTCTAATCTCCTGTTTGAGACTCATCACTTCGGCCGCCAATGATTCAACTTGGCGGGTTCGAGCAAATATAGGCGTTGGGCCATATTAGACACAGAACCTGCACACTGAACACTGAGAGCCAGTGAATCCTTAACAGCTAACTCATCAGACCGTTTGGAAAGTAGTCTGTTATCTTTGGGAGTGAGAAGGTTCCTGGCCACCACCGCAGCGGTCATATCAATCTTCATCACGGAATCCCCAACGGTAAGAGGACCAGTAGGGGAGACGAAGGATGGGCGCCATATGTTGTCTGGAGAAGGCGGGGCTGCCTCTTCAACAAGGTTCAAGTCAAAACGACGGTCGGAGGGGCCAGACATTTTCAAAGGTATTGAAGAGAGAAGAGGTCGGACAAATCAAGATCTTAGAAGTGCAAGAATGGAGCTTCTACTGGTGGAGATTCAAGTGTGCTTTGGAACTTAATGCCAGCCCCTATAAAAAGCTGCACTCGACGGAGCTTTAGAAATCGAAGAGGCGCCTGCTCAGAAATCGAAGAGGCGTTTGCTTTCTCAAAAGCTGGGCTGCTTAGAGACCACGAGGGTTGATCTCATAAATCGAAGAGGTGTTTGCTTTCTCAAAAGTTGGGCTGCTCAAAGACCACGAAAGCCGATCTCAGAAATCGAAGAGGCGCTCGCTTCCTCAAAAGCTGGGCTCCTCAGAGACCACGAGGGCCGATCTTAGAAATCGAAGAGGCACCTACTTTTCCAGCCTTGTCAGCACCTGTCACACGCACACTCAGCTTTGCGGAAATTATGGGTATTCTGTCGAAGACTTCTGGGGAAGTAGAAAACACATGAATCTTACTGTCCAATCACCCACTTCCCACACGCAGCAATAGCTCATGGGTACCACAGATAACTTTGCCAAAGTTCTCTGCCAAAGTTGAGCACGTGAAGCTTGCAGCTCCCACTACATCGCTCTGACCAAGAAGGGTAAAAGAATAGCAAAGAAACAGCACTAACAAAGTTTAGACCCATAAATTTTGAAGGTCTAGCTACCATATTATTACCCACAAGGGTAAAGGAACAGTACCACTGTTGGATAATAATTGGAAAGTCCCTGTGTGTCAACCTCCGTGCTTCGTGGCAAGGTAGACTAGCAAACATGCCCAACCTTTACTCACATTCGAGAAAACACTCCCAATAAGATTGCTTGCTCCAAAATCGAAGAGGCACCGTCCTCCGAATCTCGAGAGCCAGACTCCCAACATGACTACTTTCTCAAAAAATCGAAGAGAAGGTAAAGGAACAGTACCATTGCTGGATAATTGGAAAGTCCCTGTGTGTCAACCTCTGTGCTTCGTGGCAAGGTAGACTAGCAAACATGCCCAACCTTTACTCACATTCGAGAAAACACTCCCAACAAGATTGCTTGCTCCAAAATCGAAGAGGCACCGCCCTCCGAATCTCGAGAGCCAGACTCCCAACATGATTACTTTCTCAAAAATCGAAGAGACACTGCTCCCCTAATCTCGAGAGCCAGACCCCCAGCATGATTGCTTTCTCAAAAATCGAAGAGGCATCGTTCTCCGAATCAATCGAAGAGGCGCTCGCTTTCTCAAAAGTTGGGCTGCTCAGAGACCACGAGGGCCGATCTCAGAAATCGAAGAGGCACCTTCTTTTCTAGCCTTGTCAGCACCTGTCACACGCACACTCAGCTTTGCGGAAATTATGGGCATTCTGTCGAAGACTTCTGGTGAAGTAGAAAGCACATGAATCTCACTGTTCAATCACCCACTTCCCACACGCAACAATAGCTCATGGGTACCACAGATAACTTTGTCAAAGTCTCTGCCAATGTTGAGCACGTGAAGCTTGCAGCTCCCACTACATCACTCTGACCAAGAAAGGTAAAAGAATAGCAAAGAAACAGCACTAACAAAGTTTAGACACATAAATTTTGAAGGTCTAGCTACCATATTATTACCCACAAGGGTAAAGGAACAGTACCACTGCTGGATAATTGGAAAGTCCCTGTGTGTCAACCTCCGTGCTTCGTGGCAAGGTAGACTAGCAAACATGCCCAACCTTTACTCACATCCGAGAAAACACTCCCAACAAGATTGCTTACTCCAAAATCGAAGAGGCACCGCCTTCCGAATCTCGAGAGCCAGACTCCCAACATGATTACTTTCTCAAAAATCGAAGAGACACTGCTCCCCGAATCTCGAGAGCCAGACCCCCACCATGATTGCTTTCTCAAAAATCGAAGAAGTATCGTTCTCCGAATCTCGAGAGCCAGATACCATATACCACTTTTTCAAAGTGCTCTGACAGAGTTAAAACATGTGAAGCTGGCAGCTCCCACTACCGTGCTATGACCAAGCAGGGTAAAGGAATAGCATTACTACTTGTTGTTAGGGAGACTCCTATATATGTCGACCTCCATCCCCAACGGACAGGCAGACCTGCAAAAATGCTCAACCCTTCCTCATATCTGAGAGGGCACTCCCAACGAAGCCTTTCGAAATATTCAGCTTTCTTTCCCCCCGATAATACCTCTGCAAACAAGCTATACTAGAGCAAGAATATCTCATATCATCAGGGTTAAAAGCAAGAGTATCCCATATCATGCTTTTTCCCTGTCTTTTCCTTTGGCCTTGTTTTTACCTGCAAGATAAGGAGAAAGAGAGCAATCAGTCAGCACTTGAAATCAAGCTCCTAGCCAGGAACTGACAGCCTGGAACCCCTTACCTGATTACTTACCTGGCATTGCTCTCGAGTACTCATCTTCAACATCTTATGTTGCCAGGGAAGATACCGCATCTGCTTGAGGAACAGATAGGGCAAGTGCGAAGGATACAAGGAAGCATGTGGAGACAAGCGTAACAGCACACATGCCGATCCATCCATTACTCTGTCAAAAGCAAAAGTATCCCATATCAGCAGGGTCGAACGTACTCTAGATTTGATGGACTTGTTTTGACCCTCAAATTCTTCAGTCGGCCTTATACTCTGGAGGAAACCAGAAAACCCTCCAGCTCAGTATCCCATATCATCTCTTCTCATTTTTCTTCTCTTTATCCTTCATGCTGCTGCAAGATGGGGAGAAGGTGAACAATCAGCCGGAGCTCTGATTGCTTACCTTGTCTGTCACCTCTTTCAGCAAATCCCCTAGCTCGGCGACTTGGGGGACTCCTACTACATGGTTTGTATCGCGCTTGACCAAGCCTGAAACTACAAGTAAGCTTCAAGTAAAATTGATACATTACCTTGTGCATCTCCACCAGTTAAAGATACCACCCCTGGATGGAGGAAGAGTACTTCCAGAGAAGCTGCCACATCTACCTATGAGACAGATAAGGCAAGTCAAGATGATACCACACTCCGATACTTAGAAGTTTCGTGATTACGAGATCATTCTCCCACAATATTTCCTAATGTCATTTGTACTCTAATGTCATTTGTACTAAATCATTCACTTGTACTCACTAAAGGAGAGCTTGAACCTATGTACTTGTGTAAACCCTTCACAATTAATGAGAACTCTTCTATTCCGTGGACGTAGCCAATCTGGGTGAACCACGTACATCTTGTGTTTGCTTTCCTATCTCTATCCATTTAATATACTTATCCACACTAATGATCGGAGCAATTTAGCGAAGATCACAAAAAGCGACCGTTTTCGCTACCTAGGATCTATCTTACAAGAGAACGGAGAATTAGATGGAGATCTCAACCATAGAATACGAGCTGGATGGATGAAGTGTAAGAGTGCATCCAACATGTTGTGTGACCGTCGTAGGCCACTGAAGCTCAAGGGAAAATTTTATAAGACGGCAATAAGGCCAGCGATGTTGTATGGCACAGAATGTTGGGCGGTGAAACATCAACACGTACACAAAATGGGTGTAGCAGAGATGAGGATGCTTCGTGGGATGTGTGGGCACACGAGAAAGGATAAGATTGAGAATGAGGATATCCGAGGTAAAGTAGGAGTAGCCGAAATTGAAGGAAAGATGAGAGAAAATCGGTTCCGGTGATTTGGACATGTGCAAAGAAGGCCGACTGACGCTCCGGTTCGAAGATGTGACTATGGGACAGAGGTTCAGGGCCGAAGGGGTAGAGGAAGACCTAGGAAAACTTTGGAAGAGACTCTAAGAAAAGGCTTAGAGTACTTGGATCTAACGGAGGACATGACACAAAACCGAGCGCAATGGCGTTCTAGGATTCATATAGCCGACCCCACTTAGTGGGAAAAGGCTTTGTTGTTGTTGTTGTTGTTGAACTTTATTGAATTTTATTCTTTGGTTGTAAAGTTCGAATTTTCTGCTGCATTCTTTTTTTAACGTAGAAAATTTGAGGGGAAATAGAAGGACATTTTTTGGGACTTCATTTGGGTAGAGTTGGAAGCTTCAGTGCTACATATTTATGCTTTTTCCTCAAGTATTTTGGAGCTAGTAAGCAGATTTTGAGCTCTATGAACTGCGTTGTTATTATTGTTTTCGGAATCTTGGACTAGAGATTTACGACCAACGCAACCATTCCCTAAACAATAAGGTCACCTACTGTGTTGTTTGAGTTGTATTTAGATATATAAATGAGAACAAATCAACTAATATATTAAAGAAAGGGTTTTGGATTGAAATAACGAAAATTTATAATTTGTGCTTCGCCATTGTGTTTTGTATGTGTATCCCTTGGATGCATGTTGGGATGTCTCTTGATTTTTAGAAGAGTCTAATAACTATTTTGCTGAATGGGACTAGGTACGATGGGAATGTTAAATAATTATAATTTGAATATACTGAAATCTGTTTCATCTATTGGAAGGGCTAAGGTCTAGCATCTCATGCAACTTCTCCTCTGGCCCATGGATTTTGTTAGTTTCCTACTTGCTAATGAGAAAATTTTAAGATCTAAACTTTTCGTTTGAGTGCAGATTATAACGTGATTACCAATCCAATCTGACCCGAATTTTGTTTGGTTGTATAACTTGTATTTATTTGGTGTGATAAATCACAACGGTAGAATTTTGAATTGGTGTTGATTGGGCTCCAATCAGAACCAAATCGATCTCTGCCCATCTGTAATTGTATGATGGTGGTCTTGTCATATCTTCAATGTATTTGTGATGTTTTTTCTGCATTGACGTCAGCGTTTTGATCCTCTGGTAATTCTCTGTAGGCTCTGGTTGATGCCCCTGATATGGTGAGGTCCCAAATGAATTTCAAGAGACTTTCTCTCACTGACATCAAAATCGACATCAAGAGGGTCCCCAAGAAGAAGGAACTGGTTGCTGCCATGGAGGCCGCTGGTAAGCTCAACTCCTCATAAAAAGTAAGTCTTTTTTTTTAAATTTTTATTTTTTATTTTTTATGTCATAGTTTTATTCTAAATAGTTGTATACGTGTTGGCAGATATGAAGAAGAAGTGGGAGAACAGTTCGTGGGGTAGAAAACTGATTGTTCAGAAGAGAAGGGCGGCTCTTGATGACTTTGATCGGTTCAAGCTCATGCTGGCTAAGATTAAGGTTGGTTGTTTTGCCATAAACAAATCCAAAGTTTCAAACCATGTACTTCTTTCTTTAAAAGCGCCTGTTTCCTTACGAGGCTTAGTTTCGAATGTTTGTAGACGGTCACTATGATTTTGTTCATCTTTGTCATGTTGAACTCTGTCGAGCTAATCCCTTTTCCTCATTTGCAGAAAGTTGGGCTTGTCAGGAATGAGCTTGCGAAACTGAAGAAGCAGAGTGCAGCTTAGGCAATATTTTTAGTTCACAATTTTATCTTGGATTTTGTTTTCGAAACTGTATCTGATTAATTTTAGATTTTCAGATATTTTTTCCATTTCTAATATCATTGACACTATGTTTTGATATATAGATCTTCAGTTTCTTGTGGCTTGTGCTTTAATATGGTGATTCTGCACCTATAAGTACCCGAACCAAAAGTTAGTATCAGTTGTGACCCCAGCTAGAATTGAGTTCATCACAAATGTATTTATTACTCGCTAAACATGTGAGTTGAACTTGAGAATTGCAGTAACTTTGATTGGGAAATGAAATGATAACTGCACATCACTTTTGATCTACTACACGCTCTTGTTTAACCCTATTTGTTGGTTTTGTTTGATTTATGCAATCCGATGGTTAAAAAGAAAAAGGGGTGTGTGCGAGGCTAAAATTGATGTGAAATCAATTTTCTTTTGGTTTTTGAGTTTTTCACATTTGCTAAATTTTGGGTATTAGAATCAATTGACTTTCTGCCTATCCTGAGTTTACTAATACATGTGGACATCAAAAGAGTGGGATAGGGAGCATAAATCATAGGGAGAAAATAAGGAGTCTCCACTAGGAGTTCCGTAGATGAATCCTTATCTTAGGAGGTGGATAGGGAGCATAATTAGAATTGATTTTTTATTTTTATTTTTATTTTTTTAAATCCTCTTTGAATTCTAGTTAGGAGTTCATTTAGAGAGCTCATTAGAGATTATCTTACTTCCTATACGCTCAAGTTACCCCAATTCTTTTTTTATTACAGAAGATTAGAGCATTTCAATCATGCCCTCTATGTTTTAGTTAGCTAAAAAGACTTTAGAGTTACTTTAGGAGCTCCCTTAAAAAGGAAAGAGATCCTCTCTGGATCTCTTCCACCAAGTCCACCAGATCAAGTGATTCGAACCCTTGAGATTTCATCAAACGGCCAAAAATTATTATAGCTTTTAAAAGATCAAAACAGGTGGGCTGTTGGATGAAATTTCAAAAGTCCGGATCACCGAGGTTCTCTTTTCACTGAAAAATTCTACTCCAATCATATTCTCTAGTTTTTTTTTTTGGTCAAATCATATTCTCTAGTTTAGAGAGTCATAATATTTTATTTAAAATATTGGTAGTTAATGACAGGACCTTCTTTCTCACCTCAGATTTAGGAGCGTGTGTAGATAGAGTGATGAGAGATGGATTTTTTCAAATTCTCCTTAAAATTTAGCTAGGAGCTAGCTCATTTTGAGAGCCCATTAGAGATGCTCTACTCTAATTTATATTAAGGAGAGGGAAAAAGTTTGCACTCCAAGTTGCAGTTGGTTAACTAAAACAAGCCGTGGAGACAGATAACTATTAGACCAAAAGCGTTGGTGAAGGTTGGTGGAATGGATAGGATTAGAGGACTAGTTAGACAAGGATTAGATCGGATAGATTGGGTTTTTTAATCTATTGTTTGGTGTGGACTACGTCCATAGGATTGGATTGGATTGAAACAGACGGAGGCACAACCCACCAACGACCCTCTCGCTCACGACCCACCCACTACATCGCTTGCGACGACCCGACGATCTACCAACTTGACCACGGCGCGCGCGATGACAGCCCACTAAACGGGCCCTTAAGCTTTGGGTGAAGTTCTTTATTGACCGAAAAGAAAAGCCCGTCGAAACTTCTACTCTTTCCCCCTTAGTTTATTTATTTTTTCTTTTGAATCACCAGGTGAGAGGTAGATACGATTTCTTACTTCAAAGAGAAAAGCACAACTAGATCAAAAACTCGTTCGCGTTTATTTAGTTTGATATTACATATCCTTCTCCTCATAAACCCTAAAATTATTAGCTTATTCTATTAACATCCCACATATTGTTGATTAAACTTCACATACTTAATACACACCACATTTGCTTTTTCAATTAAAAATTATCTTAATACACCCTATATACTTTCTCATAATACCCTTACACCCTACATTCTCATACACCTAATATTTTCCACATAAACCGCGCATTTTCTATACACCCCACATTCTTCAAATCTTATAATACTCATTTTCAATTTTTATAAATTAAATTGAGAACAACATTCTTTAAAAAGAGAAGTCTACAATCCGGTCTGTTGAGCTTGAGTTTCATTGGGTCATCACAACGAATCTCCTTTTCTCTGTCTCTGTTTGGGCCCAAAATATCGGTTTGGGCCGAGATGTATTCTCGGCCCGGAAGGCCATACAAAAAAGGTTACTGTGGATCATTTAGTTCGTGGGCTTCCTAACCTAGGTCGGTCAAGTCATGCTGCGAGACGAGTAATTGAATCCTGGCGCAATAAGAAGTCTCGGCAAGATATGGATAAAAGTGAATCCGGTTTGATAAAGGACTCGGTTCAAAGTCATAGTGAAAATAGGACTGGTCAAGATGGTGTTTGATGAGAAGAAGAAATCCTAATCTGAGTAGGGTTGTAACTCGGTCTAGAAAGTGCCTGGTGCTATAAATAGAAGAGGCTGTGCATCGTTCAAGATCCCCTCCAATTCAACATACAACTGCCCTGCGCAAATTCTCTCAACAACCTTGAGATTTTTTCCTTTTCTTTTTTCGCCATATGAAGGTAACCGGTGATATCTTCAGTCGGCATAGATAGCACTGTCACCGTAGAACCAGCCAGTCTCGCAACATCTTCAGTCGGCATAGATAGCACTACGTCGAGGATGACTGGTTATCTATCCAAGTCTTGGTCGAGAAGGATTTCCAAAAATCCTTGTTGGTTGAGGTCATCTCATTAGCCTTCTCGGCGAAGTGAGATGTTACAATTTATTAGGCTCGGCACATTGCATGCCGAGTTAGTTTATGATTGGATACTCTCATGTAGGATTTAGAGTTCGGCATTCCGACGGCCGAACCACGTTTGTTATTAAGACATATATCCGCTTTGAGTATTTGTGCCCTTACACTTTGGTGTCGATTCGGCGTGAGTTTACTCTGACGAATACCATCACTGTGACCGAATCCGATAGTGACGATTTGTGAACTTCGTAAGAATATTAGCATTGTCTTCAGGTTCGAGAACCCAAGCGGCCGAGACGTGTTTCTTCCTTAGTCGCAATCGCGAGACGCAGAAGTCAGCCGCGCACCCAACGCAACATCAACAAATTTTACTCCTCGGTCGAGCTCGACCGACGAGTTGGCACGCCCCGCATTCAATCGAACGACGTAGTTAGCTTATAGATTACTCGACCTGTGTGCCACGTAGGCTTGGTAGTTTTTAGGGTCAACATTTTGGCACATCCAGTGGGACCCAGTGCTAAACTACGAAGTTCATGCCAATTGAAACACGATCGGTAAAAAAGAAAACAGCTATGGGAAAATCAACAACCGATTTGCCAATTCAGAACATAGGACAAAGTGTATCACAGGCACAAAATCCCCTTAGTGCCGTGACATCTGAGTCCACAAGCGCGACTCGCCGAGAAAATGAAGTTGGTCTCGGCGGTTAGCGTTGCAGTCTAGAAATCCCTAACAAAAACACCTGCGTTCATAATGAAGGGATAGTGGAGGACTGTGATGAGGATGGTGGTGAAGGCTCTGATCCACCAACAAGATCGTTTCTTCAAAGACGGCTTGACGAACAGTCTAGGGCGGTTGAACAGACGTTTAGTCGAGGAATCGATAAACATCATGACGTGATACGCAGTAACAGTGAGGTACAAAACAGATTGCTTGAAATACTGGTTAGCAAGGTTTGCGACGACAGGTCATTCGATCTTTCTTGGCAATTGCCACCAAGGAATAATCTGTTGTCAATAGTACAGGCTGAGCCAATTCCTACTTGGCTCAAGCCAATTGACTTAGAAAAAAAAGAGGATCGAGTAGCAGGACAGATGAACTTAACCAGAGAGTGGAAGTAACGTCCGTCGATATAACCGAGGTCCAGCAGATGATTGATTCGGCCATGAAAAAGGGGCCGAAGTTCTCTAAATTCATCCATCCATACCCAGCTTACATGGAACGATTCTGTTGACCCTAAAAACTACCAAGCCTACGTGGCGCGCAGGCCGAATAATCTATAAGCTAACTACGTCCTTCGGTGAATGCGGGGCGTGCCAACTCGTCGGCCGAGCTCGACCAAGGAATAAATTTGTTGATGTTGCGTTGGGCGCGCGGCTGACTTCTGCGTCTTGCGATTGCTACCGAGGAAGGAACATGTCTCGGCCTCTTGGGTTCTCGAACCTGAAGACAAGGCTACTATTCTTACGAAGTTCACGAATCGTCGTCGTTGGATTCGGTCATAGTGATGTTATTCATCAGAGTAAACTTATGCCGAATCGACACCAAAGTGTAAAGGCACAAATACTCAAAGCAAATATAAGTCTTAATAGAGAACGTGGTTCGGCCGTTTGAATGCTGAACTCTAAATCCCACTTGAGAGTATCCAATTATAAAATAACTCGGCGTGCAATGCGCCGAGCTCAGTAAATTGTAACACCTCACTTCGCCGAGAAGGCTAATGAGATGACCTCAATCAATAAGGATTCAGAAATCGTTCTCGACCGAGACTTGGATAGGTAACCAACCGTCCTCACCGTAGTGCTATTAATGCCAACGAAAGATACTGCGAGATCGGCTGATTCTACGACGACAGAGCTATCTATGCCGACTTAAGATATCACCGGTTGCTTTCATAGTGCTGTTGATGCCAACGGAAGATGTGTCAGCGAAAAGAGAAAATAAAAATCTCAAAGTTGTTGAGAGAGTTTGCGCAGGGCAGTTGTGTGTTGAATTAGAGGAGCCTTGAATGATGCACAACCTCCTCTATTTATAGCACAGGATACCTTTAAGGTCGAGTTAAAACCCTACTCGGACTAGGTCTTCTTCTCCTGATCAAACACCAACTCGACCAGTCCTATTTTCACTATAATTGTGAACCTAGTCCTTTATCAAGCCGGATTCACTTCCAGGTTATTAATCCTGCCGAGACTCCTTATTGCGCCAAGACTCAACTTATCTTGCAGCATGACCTAACCGACCTAGGTTTGGAGGCCCACGCACTAAATGATCCATGGTACCCTTGTTGTAAGGCCTTCTGGGCCGAGAATGATTCTATACTCGGCCCAAACTAATATTTTGGGCCCAAACATTACCCCCTCGCTTCTGAGGTCTTCGGCCTGAATTCTTTGGTTGAGTTCCAACCTTGAAAAAGCGAATCTAACACTCAGGACCCAAATACTCTGTTTCCAAGGTGCGTTTATTTAGCACGATTGCACGTTCTTGATCCTGCTGACCAATACACCACGTGGCACCCTTTAATATGGCCAATCCCTAATAATGACGTCTAAGGCGTG